GGCCAGGATCGATTATCTGTATGCATGACTCCGCGCCCCCCTCCCCTCGCCCTTCCATGTGACATGGCTCTACCTAAACCTCACTGTCACTTACTGCCTCCTCCCCCCCCCACTACTCACACATCCCGAACCGTTTTTGATTCCTCTTATTTTTCACACGTTTCAGTTTGTACTTGGTTTTCATATAAATGTATTGGTCCGATGAGAATTTATCGTATGCTCGCCAAACGTTCTTCTGGGTTACTCCATGGGAATTTACGCAACTGTAACAATAAATAGATGAGGCCGACGGCCCCTAGCTTGATCGCCTTGCGCTGAGCGCAGGCAACTGGTACGACAGAGGTTGGCTTGAGAAGTCTACGCGCAGGCATGTTTGTCACTGCGTCGGAGCACACCCGACATGAGGAAACAAAGGCGCATATGTAGGCGTAAATGACTTATATCCATCTCCTTGACTCATATTTCTGGTAGAGTAGGGAACCATGACGTCCCAATGAAAATACTGCAAATTGGATAGTTTTGAGACGACATAGCGGAATGAAAACTTGCATGACCTATACGGGGTTCACGTCTAGTTTTTTACAGTCTGCAGGACAGTCTAAACCCATCTCTTCAGCGAGGGTTTTGCAAATGGCTACCTGACCGGCATGAATAGCTCCGAGAACCAGTGCGGACAGTGTTCTGAAATCGCCGCCAGAGTCTTTAACAAACCCTGTCCATTCTGCGTTCAATAACGAAACACCGAAGGCTGCCTACAGAGTCGAACATCATCCTCCGGCCTGTTTTTCTTTTGACCACAATATTGACGCCAAGTCGAACAGGGGTAAAGATGCATGACGTCGTGCAAGAGCTTCTTTCCGCGTTGGCAAAGTATCTGACTGAGTCATCCGACACGGAAGTTTTTTGCTAGAGCACTTACAGACAGAGCTTCTGGGCAATGGTGAAACTCGGGTTCAATACGTACTTCATGAGCCAAAACGGCAGAATTCTCTGAAAACACCAGATGTCGAACGTCACAAGTCTGTTTATATCAGCAGCATGTAAAAACCACACTTAGCAGCGGCGGTGGACGATCTTCACAATAGCCCCGCATTCCAGATTCTGTCGTTTTTGGACTTTATGGAGAGACCACAGGCACTGTCGGGTCAACCAAACATGCTATGCGCGATTTGTAAGCGACGGCTCATTCTCTTTTGACACCGGCTTGTCAAAAGCATACAAGAGTCGACCGTCTAGAGTCATCCAGAAGACAGTCAGACAGTCCTTGTGGTGTGTAACCTCGACAATGTGCCGGAAATATAATATTACGAACGAGGGTCCGCGTAGTCACAGTTCTTATTAGCAGATTGGAACTGGCTACTATAAGTAATTAAGATAAAAAAATGATATCAGTCCACGAAGAACGTACCCTGCACAGAAGGTCTGCGTCTACGGGTTCACTGTAGTCGTAAACGTGTGCTTGGTGAGGGTCATGCATCTGACCACAGGCTGAACACAACACGGCCTCCCGAATGCTGTTTCCGCTACCACTACTGACCCGGCTTATGCCCCCGGGGCTTAGGCCTGGAGCCGCCGGAGGCGGTGGTGGTGGCTTGACCGGCATAGGTTGAGCGCAGACAACCGACTTAACAGAGGGTTCGAGTAAATCGCGCACGGGCGCCGTAGTCGCTGCATCGGAGCGCACCAGACAAACTGTCTCTATATCTGCAAGTGGAGGAGAGGGGAAGATGTCCTTGTTTGCGGCATCACTGCCGGCGTTAGATATGGTTGTAGACTGGGTGGAGGCGCTGGGGGTGGATACATCTGTGATATAGGCAAGCGGTGGAGGGGGCAAAACGCAGGGCAATTGAGGACTCGAAAAGGCGGGCAGCGGCGGCGGTGGTGGTTGTGAAGGTGGCCTGACAACAGAAAGTGGCCTGATGATGGGGACCGTTGGCGCGAGTGCAGGTGGCGGTGTGTGAAAGGCTGAATCCGCCAAAGGCTGCTGATTGGTAAAGGTAGGTAAAGTGCTGGTGGGCACAGGACGGAAGATATTTGGCGACCAAGGACCATGAGAGGTCGACGGTGGAGGAGGTGGAGGAAGTAGGGGAGGTGGAAGTGGGACCGATTGGGAAACGTCGGATTCCGACTTTTGGGAGGCCGGAGTCGCACTCTCGGATGAGGAGCATATGGGAGAAAAGACTGACTTTAGCAGAGGCTCGGCAGTGCTTGTTATCGATGTCGAGGCAGGGCTCTTATCTACCTTCCCAGCAGTCGTTTCGGTAGTGGTAGTGGTAGTAGACACTGGTATCGGAGGTATGGTCCATACAGGATCATCGAAGGGAGAATTTGAGGCATATGAGGAGATTGGATATGGAATAGATATTGGAGGTGTCGGTCTCACAGTAGCGGTCACCGGTCCATCAGGTTTTGCTGTTCGAAGGCCAGGAAAGGGAAACGCTGATGTGGCCGTGGAACTTGAAACAGACTGACTAGCAGTTGTTGGTGTTGGGTTCATCGGATCGGTGGCCTCCGGTTAGAACTTGGTATTCACCAAGCCGACTGGCTGGAATCCACGCATTGATTCTGCAAACAACCAAAAGGCAAAATAGGTAAAATATATGCATGGGAAGCATATTTTCCTTTCCGGACTTAAAGGTCGAAACAGCATGACTTCAGTTACTTTATTAACATCAGGTGCAAAGCACAAGTAGGATTTTGTTCAAAGTGAACAAAGCGAGTTTAGGCTATGGCACGCTAGGTGGTCTTGAATAATACCTCAGGAAGCAATCACAATTCGGCCGCTACTCTACCTTCAATTAGCATATTCCGCGATCCAATTATCAGTTGGAAAAATGCCAGCTATCTAGATTTTGTACTCCCGCGAGGCTTGTGCAACTAAAAAGAAGGTATATGGAGATGCGGGTATGACCGGGTCAGAAAAGGAAGTCGAAATCGATGGCGTGCAACCCTTAAACATTCCTATACATCTCGACTAGGCCACTTGAAAGCCTGTGTGCTGGAAAATACGAGGATGGTGTGTTTGAGGGGGTAGCCGGTGCTTCAATGCCCTGAAGACCTTGGCAAAATCGGTGAAAGTGGTTTTTGCATTGCGTAGATTCCGAATTCTATGCTAAAAATTTCCACTGTTGTCAGAAGCTCATATAGGCGTGGCCAAAAATCGTTTACAGAGGATTCTCATGCTGCTTAGCACACAACGTCTGCAATCCAGACGCCTTCTCTCATAAATGGGATAACTTAATCTTTTAGTCAGTAGCTGAGAACAATTGTTGTTCTGGAGGTCGCAGTAAAAATACTAGAATTTCTACGTGCAGGAATTTTCACTGAATTGTCGACAAGTTGGTTACTGTGAAAGTAAAGTTGCCCTCCTATTCGCTATTCGCGAAAAAGAATAACCAACTGAAGTGAAAACACTAAGAATGAATTACGCGCATCGATGTGTGCCAACTGTGCAAAAAGTCTACAAGGACTATAAGTAGGCTGGAGCAATTGGTGAACACAAGGATGCATCCGAAATGTAAGAATAAGTGGTATTAGAACGAACATTTTCATTGAAAACTCGTAATTGAACACGTGCAGTATTCTGCATACTCAATAATGGGCAGTGTTAACGAAAACCTTCATTTTTAGCTGGTTTTTACGGATGAACTGGTCGTGCTTTAAGTGCGCAGGTGTCATTGTGAAAATGTATGTCTTTAATCTCCGAAAGGGTATCGTGTGAGAAGAACAATGGTTTAAGAGTGGTTTTTGTAAGTGCGACAAAGGGCGTAAGGAAATGATAGTTCGGACACACGACAGACGGTTACACAGCAAGCATACAACCCCATACGGCAGTGTATTACAAAGGGGCGACCTGTATAGCCGACGAATGGAAATGATACGTATGCCCGAATACTTTAGGCCACATTCATAACGCCGCATGGCAGAGGAGAGAAGTCAAAAAGAATTTGGTTCGTTTGGGATTTAAGGGAAAAAGAAGGACTGACCAACAGACGATGGATGGCACCGACCAGAGAGTGAAAATAAATCCTCAACACTTGATTTTCAACAGTACATGTGCAATGCACATCCTTACCACACCATTACCTTGATTAACATTGGTTCTATCATTGGTGTTTGGCTGTTTAAGCGGGTGAGGGTTAAAGGGAAATAGATCAAACAGCCCATTAAAATCAGTGTCCAGAGGGATCCATTAAGCATACGTGTATGATCGTCAGCATCAGAAGAGCGAGAGAAACATTCGGCGTTTATAATGACGACCTTCGAGCCGCACCCCGTGTAAATTTAGGAAACACCATCACGGGCTTGCATTTGTCGCGCCTTGGGATAATGTTGAGCTCTAGATATTCAATTACTTAAAAGTCGCAGCTAATCCAGTTTGAGGTATCTGAGCGCATTGTCTAGACAATTTTTAAATTGTCAACCTAGACAATTTTTTAAATTGTCTAGACTTTTTTAAATTCCATTGTCTATAGCTATAGACAATGGAATTTTAAAAAGTCAACAACGGAGATGGAGGTGTATGAAGTAGGGCGACCAGTCTTCGTTGTTACGTTTTAGCCAATATTTTTTTAGTTTTGATTTACTTAGCAGTATGAACAGGATAGAAAACAAAGGAAAACGCAGCTGTGGGTACTCTTTGCGATAGTTCCCCCTTAGAGGGTGGTATAGGAATAAAATAATCGAATGAAGCATGTCCTAGAAAACAGGGTATATTAAGTCTAACTAACGATCCAAGACCTGGACAGGAGCAAAATGAGACATAAGGAGCCACAAACCCACAGGCTGAATTAACCGCCTTGGAATTTAATCCAGTTTAAGATACGGATTATTAAAGGGCACATATTTACATTTGAATGCCTGAATAGTTGGGCTTCAGTGCTAAAAAAATTAACAACGTTAAAACTAAGACGGAGCAGTAGATAATGCCCCTGACTGACCTATAGAAGAGGAATAGTTCTGAGGTTGTGTGCGTCGGTCGGGGAAAATCAGATCCGGCTATGGTCGATAGTGGTGTCCCCCAGGGTTCAGTTCTGGGACCAATTTTGTTCCTTATCTACGTGGACGATGCCGCAAGAGATTTAGACTGTGAAGTAGCAATGTTTGCGGATGACATGAAGATATGGAGTGTAATTCGGGGTCCTGCCGATGAAGACAGACTGCAGTTGAACCTGAATCGGTTGGAGGAGTGGTCAAACCGTTGGCTCCTGCGGTTCAACGTTGCCAAATGTAGCATACTTCGCCTAGGCAACACAGCCAGATCCGCCAGCACAAGAGGCTACTTTCTGGGCGGTGCAGCCCTACAAGAGGTCGAAGTCCAAAAGGACCTCGGTGTGCTTACGACGAGTTCCCTAAAACCATCCGCCCACTGTTCGAGGGTGGCAAAAACCGCAATGTCCGTACTGTACGCCATCAAGCGTGCGTTTATGGACTTTGACGAAGAAGCTTTCTCTAAGACATTCCGAACATTCGTCCGGCCGCATTTAGAGTACGGCATACAAGCTTGGAGGCCGTGGGCTGTTGTGGATCAAAACTGCCTCGAAAGAGTCCAGAGGAGAGCCACGAAGATGGTCAGGGGTCAAAGCTCCTTTCCTTATGCGACCCGCCTAGTAAATTTGAACCTCTTTCCTTTGAGTTACAGGCAACTTCGCGGAGATCTCTTGCAAGCCTTCCGCATTGTAAAGGGGTTGGATTGCAGTCTGGCCTTCGAGGACTTTTTTGAATTTGCAACCACGACCAACCTCCGAGGTCACCCGTTAAAACTGCGCACTCAGCAGGCACGGCTGGATGTGCGGAAGTTCTCCTTCTCGGTTCGGGTGGTCAAACCATGGAATGAGCTTCCCGCAGATGCTGTGATGTCAACATCTATACAAATTTTTAAGAAGAATCTGGACATATTTATGTTCCGAAATGACCAAGAGTGATGAGAAGTCGCGCTCCCCCCTGTAACTCCTTCTCATTTTGTCCCACCATTATGGGCGTGTTGGAACTATTTCAGCCCAGAACATCTATTTGTACACCACACATTTTTTTACGTTGCAAATAGGGTACTCAAAGGCTTACGCCTATTTCCCTCAATAAACTGAACTGAACTGAACTGAAGACGACAGCGGAAGCGCAATGTAGGAGCGACGAAAATAAGAAAAGGGTATGGCGGCATAAGGAGGCTGAAGCGAAATCTGTGTGAAGCAAAATACTTTAGGAGCAGGGGTTCTCTTTAGAAACATGCAATGGCGAGGAAATATTTTTTTCGACTTTATCCTGTTCACTGGGTTCCGTCCTTTACGGTACGAAACAGTTAGAAAACCACAAATAAAGTCGAAAGTTTTTATGGCTAGGTGGCCAGGGGAAATTGTGGACTTATAGCTGGAACTTGGCTCATTTCGGAAAGATTGCGCAGTGGTGCTTGATTAACGGTATGTTTGGGACAAGTACCTGTTCAATGGAATTTGGACTGGGAGTTGTGTAAAGTTGGAAAGCAAGTCGTATGCGCCGCAGGTACGTAGATAGGATTCATGATGCAAATATCCGAAAATTTCAGGTTCAATTCTCTAAAATAAAACAAGGAGTTCTGAGAAAAGAAGTGAGCAAATTCTCTGAATATAAAGTTGAGTGCGATTTCAGCAAAATACCCTTTCAAGTGAGTTATTTAGAAGGAAAATCTATGCCGCAAAATGATATTGAAAAGCGGGGCAGGCCTATCGTGAAAGAATAGTATGATTTTAGTCCGCAATTATAGAAAATGCAGGGCATTACGTTACTAACTTCTGGTCTGTTTTGACATACTACGACATGGGCTCGAAATGCAAGAAATACGGCGACAGCGGCTTGCGTAACTTGCCTTTTTAACTACAGGCTGGTATAGGTGTGTAGTGGCATATTTGTGGTAACAATCAGTGCCTTTTAAGACCCTTCTAAAAAACGACACATACAATTTTCAATTTCTAACAAACATACTACTAAAATCGAGATAGCCCACATTTATTAAGGGAAGTGTATGCAAACGCCTTTGAACTCCCTATTGGTTGCAATAACGTCACAAAAAATGCAAGACGCAATTCAAGTTAGAAGGAAAAATACGTACGTAATTACATACAGCAAGCATGTAATACTTGTATGAAGGTGTCAGTGCATGTATGCTGCGTCAGGGGTGTAGGGGTGTCAGCGGTGGGGTCACGTGATGGTCGTACTGGTCGCTCATTTGCTTGCAGGTGAGACTACACCTAGCATCCATTTGCTGGCACCCAACTCTCCCCTGTGGCTTCACGTAGTTGGGCTCTGCTCAGCGGCCACACCCCGGTCAACCGCCTCGATCGGCGGGCTAAACCAGGTGAGGGCGGTTACTCCCAGTGCGCGTTGTGCCACGTGCACAGGGTACTGCGGACTCCGCTGAACGGTCGATCGGATGGAACACCGTGTCGGCACCGTAGTGAAGAGGCTCCGTCCGGTACGCCGCTCGCCAGCCAGTTGGCGGAACTTCTCATCGGCATCGTCTAGAGGAGGTTCGCCTGGTACGCCGTTGGTCAGCCGGTGGGATGGGTCTTCGAATCGGCATCGTCGACACGCGCCCATCTGGTGCACCGTAGGAGACCGCGGGCTTACGGTGATGTCGTAAGCCGTTGGAAAAATCGAGTCGCGCTTCCTCTGCCAAGAAAATGTTGTGGCCTACAGTGGAGTTCGACCGCGCCGGCACAACCAAAATCGAAATAACAACAATAACAACACTACTCCCTCTCTTCATCCTACCTCTTCTCCCTCTTCCTCTGCCTGTTCTTCTCCTTTGCCATCCTCTTCTCCACCTCCTTCCCGCCCTTTCACTCGTCGCCAGACTGGCAGGGTGAGCCCGCTCACGTTGGCAGCCTGGAATGTTCGTTCCCTTTTCGACAATCCGAGGTCCCGCCGACCGGAACGGAGAACGCGCTAGTGGCCCGGGAACTGGCGTGCTACAAGGTGGACATCGCCGCACTCGGCGAGACTCGATGCTCCGAACAAGGCCAACTGGAGGAGATGGGTGCCGGCTACACCTTCTTCTAGAGCGGTCGCCTTAGGTCGGAGCAACGAGACGCGGGCGTCGCCTTCGCCATTCCGAACGATATCGTAGGACGACTGCCCTGTTTGCCGCAGGGCATCAACGATCGCCTGATAAGCCTCCTTCTGCTCCGACGATGACCAGCCCCGACGCCGCCGCAAGAGACAAATTCTACGAGGACCTGCACGCCCTCTCGACGACTGTGTCGAAGGCGGACAAGTTAATTGTCCTTGATGACTTCAACGCCCGAGTCGGCACACACCATGCTGCCTGGAGAGGAGTGCTGGCTTCCCATGGGCACCGCAGCCCAAACGACAATGGCCTGCTGCTTCTCCTCACCTGCGCAGAACACTGCCTCATGCTGACGAACACGTTCTTCTGTCTGCCGGAGCGAGAGAAGGCCACCTAGCGGCATCCTCGGTCGCGCCAGTGGCACCTGCTGGACTATGTCCTCGTCCGGAGGCAAGATCAGCGCGACGTTCTAGTGACAAAGGCGATCGCGGGTGCTGATGGGTGGACCGACCATCGCCTCGTCATCTCGAAGATGCGTATTCGTCTACAGCCTCGCAGGAGACCACAAGGTAAGCGAACCCCAGGTAAGCTGAACATTGTCTTGTTGTCTTTCTCCGCTCACCATCTCCATTTCAGCAATGAGCTAGCTCAAAGGCTAGAAGACCTTCCAATCGCTGCCGACGCCGCCGCTGCCGAGAACGCCTCCGAGGAGAACCGCTGGTGTCAACTGCGAGACACGGTCCAGTCGACGGCGCTAGCCGTCCTCGGTCGCGCTTCCCGCCAACACCAGGACTGGTTCGACGACAACGATGCCGCCATCAGAGATCTGTTCGCCGAGAAGAACGGCATACACAAAGCCTACGTAGATCAACCCACTGACGACAACAAAACTGCTTTCTACCGCAGTCGCCGCCACCTCCAGCAACGACTGCGCGAGATGCAGGACGCTTGGACTGCTCGCAAATCTGAGGAGATCCAAGGTTACGTGGGCCGCAACGAGTGGAAAAACTTCTTCTTTGTGATTAAACCCGTCTACGGTCCTCCGACGAAGGGCAATGCTTCTCTCCTCAACGCCGACGGCAGTACATTTCTGACTGAGAAGACACAAAGTCTACAGAGATGGGCCGAGCATTTTCGAGGCGTCCTCAACCGCCCCTCCGTCATCTCCGACGCCGCCATCGACCGTTTGCCGCAAGTGGAGACCAACGTGGACCTCGACCTCCCGCCATCTCTCCAGGAAACGATCAGGGCCGTGCAGCAACTCTCCAGCGGGAACGCACCCGGATCGGACGCGATCCCCGCTGAGGTCTACAAGCACGGAGGGCCCAAACTGATGGATCACCTGACTGCGCTCTTCCAGGCGGTGTGGCGTCAAGGTGAAGTCCCGCAAGATTTCAAAGACGCAACCATCGTGCATCTCTACAAGCGAAAAGGGGGCCGCCAAGTCTGCGACAATCACCGTGGCATCTCCTTGATGAACATCGCCGGAAAGATCTTCGCTCGCATCCTCCTCAACCCTTTGAATAATCATCTGGAACAGGGCCTTCTGCCGGAAAGCCAGTGCGGCTTCCGTCGTCATCGTGGGACCGCGGATATGATCTTTGCCGCCCGTCAACTTCAGGAGAAGTGCCAGGAGATGCGGACCCACCTGTACTCTACCTTCGTGGACCTGACGAAAGCCTTCGACATGGTGAATCGTGAAGGACTGTGGAAGATCATGCAGAAATTCGGCTGTCCGGAGCGATTCACTCAGA